TTCAAAATTACCTATGAGGATTTGTCTAATAGATGCATCAACAATAAAGTTTGTGACCAAATCTAAAAATTGGTAAATTACTTGTAAGCCATACCTCTTCAAATATGTTGGGAGAGCATGATGGTGGTGCGACTTGAAGAACATCTTGCTCCGTCTTTGGATGGCTCCCCAATGCCTTGTCATCATATTTTTCTTGATTCCATGCATCATTGCTTTGAAAATCTATGTTAGCCGAACTTTGTTCGGCTACTTGTTCTTGTCCTTGGGGCTTGTCAATTTCTATGGCACGGAACTCATAGGGCAGGAAGTAGGTTCCATTAACTTCAGAAAAATCAAGCATGGTTGTTTTGACATGTTTTCCATGCCCTTTCTCAATACTACTTGCCTCTTTTCATTTGATGCATTCGGAATATATACTACTTGATTCGGCTTTTTCAACCGAAGCACTTTCATGTTTCGAATCATCCTTCTTTTCATTAATACTACCAATTGGCAATGCTTCTTTTATCTGAGACAATTCTATTTCTATTTGTTTCTGGCAGCAAGCGGCAAAATTGGCTTTAAGCTTTTTCTCAATTTCAGCCCACTCCGGATATGATTGGCCCCCAATGCTTTTTGATTCTTTCGGCAATGACGCATGGGTGTTGCCGAAACTTTGCAATTGTGTAGGGGGTGTATAATATGATGTAGTACTAGGTGAAGACATATGCATTGTTATAAAATCATATTTTTGCTCGCAATTTTACCAATTAGTAAAGATTCATCTTTTTGCAAAACTCTAGCTTTTATTGCATTATAATCAGGAACAAGCCCCTTATCATGTTGTTCAAGGCAAAGAGCACCAATCTTATTATTTACGGTTATATCCATTTTTAATGTAGTCACTTCCCATTCTGTAAGGGATTGCTCCACAATACTTTTAGATTCTTTCGGCATTAAGGTGTTGCCGAAATTACGCAATTGCGTAGAGGATGCATTATATGCTACGATATTAGATGGTGGCATGTGCACTCCTATAAAATTTTCACTTATTCGGCTATGACTGTGAAGGTGCGGAGCCGAATTATGAGCATCTACAGTTGTATACGGTGCCGAATAATTACTAACATGAGGTATAACATACGACGGTTGAGAGTAACCGGCCGAATAGCTAGTAGTAGCATGACCAATTCTCCCATCCATCGGCATGGTTGAACTATTATATTGCAAATTAATTGCCGATAAATAAAAAGGCGAAACACTTTGTCGCATGCTATTGGTAGTTCTTACAAGAGATGTTTCAACTTGATTGACCAAACTCATCATGTTCTTCACTGGCATAATGATTTCTGGGGTTGCCGATGCATGAGAGTTGGAGTACATATGGTGCATGTTACTAGTATCATAAGAAATTGAAGTATGTAAATTACTTTGAATCGGCCTATGCACGTAATTAGATGCATGATTGAAAAAATTAGGGCTGACCGATAGAGTATACTCATTGAAAGATCTGTAACACCATATGAATTATTTGCATCTAAAGTATAGAATTGGGTATTCATATTACCTTTGTAGATTGCACACCCTAGATGACGATCTCTTCATAAAAAGAACGGACTGGAGACCGTTTAAAGCTTCGTTCCCAACGGAGTCGCCAAAAAGTGTGTTCGCACACGAACACGTCACCGTGTATTCTCGACGCCAGGGTGATGCCCAAAAGCGTGGTACGCAAGCAATTCGGCGAACGCTTTTGTAGACCCAAAACCCTACACGCCTAGGAGGGATCCCGTCAGGGTGCGTCGCAACTATGGGCTGCCCTAGGTCGACCTAATCGTCCCTAGGGCCTCGAGGTTCGCCGCCCTGCAACAAGAAAATGAATGAAGAACGAGAAAGAAGAAGAACAAAGGAGAAGACAAAAGGTAAAGTGGTAGATGTTTGTTCGATTGTGTGTTTTCAATCGGCCCTCACCCATTAGGTATATAAGAGGCGGATGGACTTCCCGTACAAAAAAAGAACTCCAAATCACGCCCAAATCTTTTCAAAATTAATTGAACTCGGATTTAGGTAAGTCTTGAACATCTGTTCGGTTTGTAGGTCCCACGGGTCACAAACGACCTCGGATGAAGATAAGCCCATAAGAAAAATTGACCGTTTTAACGAGACGAACAACTTTTGTGTTGAAAGTGTTTTGATTCAAAGCCATCTTAAGGACCGAATCTCTCACGCAAAACAGCCGACTGGTGGCGCTACTCATCAGACACGTGTCTGGTGGGGCGCGCCATATTTTGTCTCATGACAAAGCTGCATTCCGATGGCTCTAACTTTTGGATACGAACTCGGATTGGGATGATTTTTATATCAAAATCAATTGTTTCGATGAAACGCACAACTTTTGTGTTGAAACATTTTACATCAGAGGCCATCTTAATTGAGATTCATGTCATTTTTTAATCTGGTGTCAACATAAGCATTTCTAAACTTGTCATAAATATTGCGTAAGAGGCCATTTTAGACCATGTTCATATCCATCTCGTTCTTCTTAAAGAGAATCATCCGGAGGTGACCTCCAAACATAAGTTTGAATTAGTCTCGATATAACTTAAAGCTACTTTTTATGATTGTGCCACTTTTGAGTGTCGACAAGTTGTTTTCGTGCAAAAATACTGTAATGACTTGGTCAACAATTTGGAATGATAAGCTACATATCTTTCTCTAAAAAAACAAATCTCCTTCTAACACACACAGTCGACAGTCATCACAGATGCTCCTCCTGAATTCCGAACCACTTCCGCACACTCGCAGGAGTTGGGTGCTGAACACGTTACTGCTTACTTGCAAGGTTTCCCTTGCATCACGAGGTGTCCAGACTCTTTCCTTCATGTGCAGCTCTTGCCCCGACCATTCATTTACCCAACAAACATAGGGAGCTAGTCTACGTACGACGAGGGAGCGAAGATTGATGTGTGCAAACAACTTCCACACAACACAACCGTACTCACGCTGACACAAGTTTTGCAGCCAGTAGGTACGACCACAAGGAGGTTAAATTTATGCCACCTTGGCCTATGCCTTACGTTTCAAGGTAAAGCATGCCATGAGAATTTGCATTAGATATACACGCCGCTCAGGTGTACCGACTCTGGAGCACGCAAGAAAAAGGAACTCTGAAGCAAAATGCTCAACCACCGGCTGTTGCTGCTCCACCGGCCAACTGCAAGCTTGCATCTCTAACAGCGTACGCGGCCGATCTTCGTAAGTGGCAGCAGAGCTCTAGTCCTAGGTTCTGCTAACTAACGGTCAGACTGCATCAAGAAAACATACATGATTAGCTGTGTTGTGTATTCCCCTCAAAAAAGAAAGTTGTGTTGTGTATGTGTCTAGCTAGTACATCTTTATTATCGAAGAAAAAGCAAACAGGTGATACTAAACATGTGGAGACAGCCAAACAAAATTAAATGGACTAGTGGGACAGTAGAGAGATATCCAAACAAGATCTCCTGTTTATTATGCTTTTCTCCCCACCTTTATGTCTCTCCCCACATTTGTTTTCCTTGCAGAGATGGGCAAAGGCAAATCCAGTCTTATCCCGCCGCTCACTTCTTTCTTTTCAAATCGGACGATATCATCTGTTCATGGCATCTTTAAATTCACTATGTTCCCTAATTTGGGGCTCCTTCGTTCAATTGAGATATTTAATTTTAGATTTGATTCAGGATTTTGGCTGGATCGGCCATTTTCATTGAGATGTTCAATTTTAATTTTGGACTTGGCTCTTTAGTTTTAGAGTTCTCACAATTTTAACTAGAGCAACGATTTTGATTGAGGTGTTTAATTTTAAATTTAGTTCATGAATTTAACCGAGTAAAAAAATTCTCAAATTAATCAGTAGCAACCAACCTATAAAAACACATCGGTTCCGCACAACCTTTCAATCACTTGGCAAAACAAAAGAAACGCCACCATGCGACTTTCTCACATATGTAAGTTTCATTTTTGCAAGTGCTCACATTCGTAAGTTGATTAGCAGATATCACAGAACCAAACCGCCAAAAAAGACCCATCAACATACGGCATTATAAGGAAACATACTTCATCTCCCCCACGCGTCAAACAAAAATTATGAGATCCTAACAACACCTACCGTGACAACCCTTCTAGTTAGTATGATTTACAGAAATAATAAATCCCCAACATACGAATTTTAAGCATGGCAATCCGGGCGTTTTTCATGACAACTTTAGTTCACGTGAGGTTGGCAAACATGACAATTTTCTGACAAAAAACCAGTTTGGGACAAAGTTGTCGTGTTTTAACAACTAAAGAAAAATGTTCAGGGGGACATTTTAAATTAGTCCATGATTTAGTATGACCTCCTGGGATCTCCTAAGCACTTATTCATCAGTGTTGAAGAGATATCTTGCGCTCACATCTTCATAAACATTAACCCACAAACATAGGAAATTCACAGAAAGTTTTATTTGTTATTTTTTTTCTAGCACACATATAAAGTGCTTTTTTAATGTTAATACGGTACAATTGCAGATGCTGACATATAGTCATCCTTATGAGCGCATGTACGCACACGTTATACCTATAAGCACCGCTAAATACTGAGCTGGCATAATATTTTAAAATTGACGTAGTCATTATAGACGTTCCGTAGTCAACGAGAACATCTACTTTCACTGAACGAACATTGCCGAAAACCCTAAAATAAATTCAGAAAAAATACGAGCACCAGTGTACATCTGACCTACATTCAGGTTGTATTGTATGGAGGGTCAATTTTTGCTTGGTAATCACTGAAATCGCAAAGAATTGACAATAAAGGTGTCTATCGATAATGACAACACTCCACTCATATATATACTCATTTTTGGAATTGGAAATACAAGTTTAGTGACAGTTGAATCTTCTCTGGTCTACAGCATGTTTCTCCGTCAAAACCTCTATCACTACCTGTTCCCCTCTTGTCTTATAAAAGAAAAGTTGTGACTAATCCTCGCACAAGATGACAAGAGTTAGATGATCGGCGGTGGCGGCGTCTCCCACACATCGAACACATTCTCGTTATGCAGGGCGAAAAGACGGTCGCCCCCAATGGAGAAGTCGCAGATGGCGCCGCCGTCGCTCCCGCGCAGCGTTGAGGTCAGTGCATGGTCGGGGCCAGTGAATACCGAGATGGCGTCGTTCGTCGACGCGAAGAGCTGGCCGGCGTGCGTGGCGAGCTTGGGATAGCACGTCTCCTCGGCGTGCACCTTCTTCCTGCTCATCAGCTTGCTCCGTGATCTCCACCGCACGCCGCCGGCGCTGCTCCGGAGGTCGAGGAACCCGAGGTCGTCGTACTGGTTGATGACGCAGATCGACCTCCCGTCCTCCATTGCGATGGCGTGGACCGCGTGCTTATCCTCGAGCGACGCCGGCGTGCCGACGTCGCACCACGACCAGACGACGTTCTTGTCCCGGAAATCCAGCAGGCTTATGAAAGAAGAATCCGCCCGCGGGAACATGGTGGCCGCCATGAGCGTTCTGGTGCCGTCCAGCCACTGGAGCTTATCGGCGTCCCCGAGGGCGCAGCCGGGCGGCTCGTAGAAGAAACCCGTCTGGTCGCCGGTGGTGCCGTCCCATACACCAATGCCATACTCGTTGAGCCGGCCCTTGCAGCTCGCAAAGATGCTGCACTCCTGGTCGAAGGCCAGTGCCCCGGGGGTGAAGGACCTGAGCTGACGATCGTGCGCGACGCGGAAGCGGTGGTGCATCTCGCCGGTGAGCGCCGAGAAGGCGGCCACGCCGCCGTCCCGCCTGCCGGGGCGCTCGCGCGCAGCGACGAGGAGCGTGGAGGCGTCGAGGTAGGCCGCGTCGTTGACCGGCGCGTGGTCGAGGTAGACCGGCCGGCGCTCCTCGAGCATCCAGTTGTAGACGCGCACGGCGCCGCCGTGCGCGACGCAGCAGCCCCCGTCGGGCGCCGCGCGGACGGCCGTGCCGTCCCCCGCGGCCCGGCCCGGCACGGACGCGGCCAGGCGGAGGCGGTCGCCGTCGAAGTCGTCCCAGCGCGCGGCGCGGACGCGGTCGAGGAGGCCGTAGTAGAGCGCCTCGCGGCAGAGCACGGCGTCGGGGATGTGGGGCGGCACGTGGAGGCCGCCCGTGCGGAGCAGGTCGAGCAGCACTGCGAAGCAGGCCGGGTCGCGGTCGATGAAGTAGTCGGCCTCGTCGCCCGTGGCCGCGGCGTTCCAGGAGGCGTCCAGCATGGCGCCGAGCATGGTGTCCCGCCCCGCGGCGGCGAGCGTGGCGGCCGTGGTCTGGAACACCCGTCCGCCGACGTTCAAGCACACGCCGCCGCGGCCGCGGCCACCCGGTGCTGGCGTGCACATAGTCGGCCGCGCGTAATGGGGGTGCGTCGACGGTCGTCCTTTTGGTTTGTTGGGCGAGCGTTGGAATGACCGGGTCGATGGTTTGGCCGCAGCGGCCTTTTATGGGGCGGAGAAAAGGTCGGGCTAGGTGGCGACGGAAGCGATGATTCGGTCGCGCGGGACGTCAGCGCGACTGTTCCTTGGACGCAATAAGGGTCGGCGGCGTTCGGGTTTGGGGATCGGGTGCCGTGGTCTTGTGGTGGGGCAGCGCGAGGGATTTGTTTACGGAGTGGGTTTTGGGTGCGTGGTGGCTCTATCTTCTCGTCATGGTGAGTGCGGTGCGCGGAACGGGGAACCGAGCTCTGTCCCAAGCTTCCATTCCCTCGGGGTGCTGACTGTAGTGGATTAGAAACTTCCGTGGGTCGGGTGGACTTAACTGGTACACTGAGCAGGCTGACAGCAACTTCACTGTTCGTTACGGTGAAGATCATGAACCACTTACCAGAAGCACTACCGATTGCTTAGGCCATCTCCAACCAACCTTCAAACCGCCCACAACGGTCTGTATCGTCAGGTCGGTTCCGACGTGTTTTTTTTGCAAACCAGACAAATTAGAGGGCTTTGCGGGTATCCGGATCACTGCCACACCCGCTTCTGACTGCCTGCCTTGTCCCGCCCAAAAAATCCTTCCTCTCCCGCGCCATTTCCCACCCGAAGCGAGCTACCCATATTCATGGCACTCTAAAGCGGCCGTTCCGCATTGACATCGGCCTAGAACATATGTGACATCTCGCTCGCGCTGGCATTGAAGCGGTCGGCCGAGGACGCCGCGACTGTGCACGTCTTCTCTCTACATTGAAATTGCATCCGTCTACCCGCCTGCCTCCATTAAACCCGGGTGTGTGTCGAGAAAGCTACTCCGGTGCCCCGAGCGCCACACGTCTGTTCTTGTGTCCGACGGCATTAAACACCTCTCTGTTTGGCTTCTCGCATCCGCCCGCTATATAAACCTAACCAGGCGTGGGGCAAAAACCGCACCTCATCTCCGCTCTCCATCTCCTCCTTGCACCACACCCGTTGAGGGAGTCCTGGACTAGGGGTCCTTGGGTGTGCGACCAATCTCACATGGGCCGGATTGTTGGGCCGCATTGTGTCCGGACCAAAGACCTTTTGTGCCTTGGTGTGCGACCCAAGACAGGATGGAAGATCCGGTATTCCTTTGATGTAACCGACTATATGTAAACCCTAGTACCCCTGGTGTATATAACCCAGGGGGTTTAGTCCGTGGAGGCTAGAAGAACAATTACCATCCTACTAGTTAGGGTTTAGTTCGTCTGATCTCGTGGTAGATCTACTCTGTAATCCTCATATACACAAGCAATATAATCAAGAAGGACGTAGGGTTTTGCCTCTTAGAGAGGGCCCGAACCTGGGTAAATATCGTGCCCCACATCTATGGTTCCCCATCGATCCAAGGTCCACAGTTCGGGACCCCCTACCTGAGATCCGCCGGTTTTGACACCGACATTGGTGCTTTCATCAAGAGTTTCTTTGTCGAATCATCGAAGGATTGATGGCTCGCCTGATCATTGGAGACAGCATCATCACCGGGGACAACTTCGTCCCCGGGCAGCTTTCGCGTTCGGCAACATTGTTCTGCACGCCGACTCGATCGGACATCTCAACCCGGTCGACAGCTTCGCCCCTGAGAATCAAATCAGGTTCGGTAATTTTGAATACATCGCCGACACTCAGGGCGATCTGTTCTTCACCGGCTTTTCAGCCTCACTTGGAACAACCACGACTCCCGAGGCATTAATTTCGGGGCCTCTTCCCGATCTGATCTCCAGATCGGCCCTTGTCGCACTATCAACTTCGAGCTTGGGTGTAGCTCTTACGTCCGAAGATCAGGAATCAACCCTGTCCGGACCTTTCTTCCTCGCCGAGGACCCGGCTTTGAGCCCTAACGGGAGTTCGGCGCCCGAGGACTGGGAGTCGGCCCCAGCCGGACTCGCCCTCCCCAGTACAGACCTGGTGGTGAGCTTCAACGCAGGTACAACGTCCGAAGATCGGGATTTCGCCCTGGCCAGACTCGTGCCTCTTCTCACTGTAGCAACAGAGGTCAGCTTTGAAGAAATCTCATGCTCGACAGAGGTCAGCTTCGAAGAAATCTCATGCCCTATTAAACGAGGCACTCGATCGAATCCAGATGATGACTATCGTCGATGGCCCGTCCTTAACTCATGCTCGACAGAGCCTTGAGGTAGGCCACAGGGAATTTACTTCCCACCCACCACCCACTTAGTAGCCACCGTCGAGGACTTAACCGACATGCTGGACTATGTCAGGGAGGAGGCTGATGACATAGGGACGACAGCGAGGCCACAGCCCACACTAGAGCCACCCTCCCATCACCAGCCGATGGGCGGCCACATGCACCTATGACATCTACATCGTGGACACCCCCAAGGACAACGGCGATGGCGCTAATGGGGATGGAACCCCCAAAAACAAACCTAGAGAGGAGCCCCCCAAACGCCGAAGATAACATCGATGATCCAAAGGGCGACACGGCAGGGAAAGCAACACGGGCATCGGAGAGGATGACACCCCGGACAATGCGGAAGACATCAGCGACCCTGCCCCCGAGCACCAGTCTGATGACTTCGAGGAGGAAACAGGTCAGCATAATGCCGAGGACCCCAATGACTCCGAAGATAGCAATTACATGCCTCTCTCTAAAGAAGAAGTCAGCCTCAGGGCTGAAGATTTTGTCGTCCCAGAAGATCCACTGGAACATGATCAGTTCAAGCAACAACTAATAGCCATCGCGTGAAGCTTAAAGAAGAAACAACAATAGATCAAGGCCGAACAAGACATCCTGAACGACAGATGGACGAAAGTCCTAGCGGCCGAAGAGGGGTACGGCTATGAACGACAAACAAAGAGCTACCCCAAGCGCAGATTGTTGCTGCAATTCGATGATGAGGCTTTCAAGCCCGCACTACCCAAACGAACACAAGTCAACCAGCCCGACCGCCCCCCTCGAGGAAGGGACATGCCGGCTGGGGAAGCCGAACACCCACCTGCCCCTCCCCGCCATATAGGCAAGGAGGCGACACAGCCAGAATATCAATACGATCTTCAGCACGACCTGGCTGTTAGAGCAAGTCAGTCACGGTCCATCTACAGATCAAGAGGATACCCTCCCGAAAGAAGAGACGCACACCAAGCATGGCTCGACCGGAACAATAGAGTTCGGGAACAACACCGAGCCAGGATGGAATCCGAGGTTCGACGCGATGTGGCCCGAATAAGGGGCGCCACTCACCCAATGTGCTTCACCGATGAGGTGATGCAGCACCAATTCCCATAAGGGTTTAAACTCGTGAACATCGAGTCGTACGATGGTACTACGGATCCGCGCGTGTGGATTGAGGATTTTCTTCTCCACATTCATATGGCACGTGGAGACGAGCTCCACGCCATCAAATATCTGCCATTAAAGCTCAAAGGACCAGCCCGACATTGGTTGAACAGCCTCCCCAAAGACTCCATAGGGAGCTGGGAATAGTTCGAGGATGCTTTCCGAGCCAACTTCCAAGGCACCTATGTCCGGCCTTCGGATGCCGACGACTTGAGCCACGTGGTCTAACAGTCCAACGAGTCGGCCCGGCAATTATGGAATCGGTTTTTTAACCAAAAAGAACCAGATAGTCGACTGCCCAGACGCCGAAGCTATAGTCTCGTTCAGACACAATATCCGGGACGAATGGCTCGCACGCCAGCTCGGCCAGGATAAGCTAAAGATAATGGCGGCTCTCACATCCCTCATGACCCGATTTTGTGCTGGTGAAGATAGTTTGTTGGCTCATAGAAGCACCAACCCAGAAGACCCTGGTATTTCGGAAGTCCGGGATGACAATGGAAAGCCACGCCGCAATAAAAATAAGCGTCGACATAATGGCGCAGAGGCTGATGGCATGGCAGTAAATGCCGGATTTCGTAATTCCAAGTCAGGGCCGCAAAAGAAGCCCTCTAAAGGAAACCAGGACAGACCCACTAAGTTGGATGTTATCGTGGATCGACCGTGCCAGATACATGGCACCACGGACAAGCATGCCAACCACACCAACCGTAATTGTTGGGTTATTAAGCAGGCCGGAAAACTTATAGCCGAAGACACGGGCAGAAGCCCCTGCAGCGAGGACGATGAGGAGCCTCGCAGGCCGAATAGTGGAGGCCAGAAGCAATTCCCTCAGGAGGTTAAAACAGTGAACATGATCTATGTCACTCATATACCCAAGAAGGAGAGGAAGTGCGCACTTCGGGATGTCTACGCCATAGAGCCAGTGGCACCGAAATTTAACCCATGGTCGGCATGTCCGATCACCTTCGACCGCAAGGACCACCGGACCAGCATCCGTCATGGAGGATCGACACCTTTGGTCCTCGCCCCCATCATCGATGGATACCACCTTACCAGAGTCCTTATGGAAGGTGGCAGCAACCTCAACCTGATCTGTGAAGATCCACTAAGGAAAATGGGAATGAATCCGTCAAGGATCAATCCTAGTGATGTCTACTATGCAACTTTATTCTTGTAGACTCGTGTTGGGCCTCCAAGCACAGAGTTTTGTAGGACATTAGCAATTTTCCCTCAAGTGGATGACCTAAGGTTTATCAATCCGTGGGAGGCGTAGGATGAATATGGTCTCTCTCAAACAACCCTGCAACCAAATAACAAAGAGTCTCTTATGTCGCCAACGCACCAAATACAATGGTAAGTTGTATAGGTGCACTAGTTCGGTGAAGAGATGGTGATACAAGTGTAGTAACGATAGTAGATATTGATTTTTGTAATAGGAACAATAAAAAACAGTAAGGTAGCAACTGATAAAACGGAGCACAAACGGTATTGCAATGCTTGAAAATGAGGCCTAGGGTCCATACTTTCGCTAGTGCAATATCTCAACAATGATAATATAATTGGATCATATAACCATCCCTCACGTGCGATG